TTCTGTATGTAAGTCAGAACTGGCGGTCAGTTTCAGCAGCGGCTGAATCTGGACGCCAGTTCCGACTTACATACAGATTCAACTTAAGAACAAACCTACAGTCCCTGTCTTGTACGTAACCCGGGGACTGCCTGTAGAGGATTTGGCCCAAAAGCACTTTATTACCCCAAATCATTCTCAGACAATTAGTCATTAAACATGTTGCTGCCTTCATGTCCTGCAGCTGTCAGTTTCAGCAGCGGCTGAATCTGGACGCCAGTTCCGACTTACATACAGATTCAACTTAAGAACAAACCTACAGTCCCTGTCTTGTACGTAACCCGGGGACTGCCTGTAGAGGATTTGGCCCAAAAGCACTTTATTACCCCAAATCATTCTCAGACAATTAGTCATTAAACATGTTGCTGCCTTCATGTCCTGCAGCTCTAGGTGACTGTCTTGCCATTCTGTAATACAAAGCGTATCCTGCTAGCTGCTCATGCGTTACAAGCCATTTGGAGAAGTCAGCAACTCACATCAGTGAGCAAGTTTACACGTGGCTTGGAGACATTTACTTTCCACATGCTCGAGCAAATTTACCAAAACACTGATTATCCATTAATAATAGTCCAGTGGAAATCAGCACACCTGCTTAGTCTTACCTGCAATTCTAAAGAACTAGTTTCAATAAGGAACTATGATGGATTTTTTTGTTAATTTTTTTTTTGTATTTTTAAGGTTTCTATATATATTTTTAAAGTTCAGGCAAACAAAACCAGACACACAAGCAGAGCTAGGGTATGTCTACACTACCCCGCTAGTTCGAACTAGCGGGGTAATGTATGTATACCGCACTTGCTAATGAAGCCCGGGAAATTCAACTCCCGGGCTTCATTAGCAAGTGCGGTATACATACATTACCCCGCTAGTTCGAACTAGCGGGGTAATGTATGTATACCGCACTTGCTAATGAAGCCCGGGAAATTCAACTCCCGGGCTTCATTAGCAAGTGCGGTATACATACATTACCCCGCTAGTTCGAACTAGCGGGGTAATGTATGTATACCGCACTTGCTAATGAAGCCCGGGAAATTCAACTCCCGGGCTTCATTAGCAAGTGCGGTATACATACATTACCCCGCTAGTTCGAACTAGCGGGGTAATGTATGTATACCGCACTTGCTAATGAAGCCCGGGAAATTCAACTCCCGGGCTTCATTAGCAAGTGCGGTATACATACATTACCCCGCTAGTTCGAACTAGCGGGGTAGTGTAGACATACCCCTAGAAAGTCAAAGTAGCCTCATCCTCAGGCTAGTTCTACATACACATAGGCTACGTCTACATTGGCAAGATTTTGCGCAAAAGCGGATGCACTTTTCTACACTGTCTACACTGGCCGCGAGTTCTTGCGCAGGTACACTGACATTCTAATGTAAGAAATCAGTGCTTCTTGCACAAGAACTATGACACTCCCACTCAGGAATAAACCCTCTTGTGCAAGTATTCTTGCGCAAGAGGCCAGTGTAGACAGGCAACATGAATTTCTTGCACAAGAAAGCCCGATGGCTAAAATGGCCATCAGAGCTTTCTTGTGCAAGAGAGCATCTACACTGGCACGGATGCTTTTGCACAAAAGCACATCTCTTGCACAAAAGCACATGCCAGTGTAGATGCTCTCTTGCGCAAATACTTTGACGCAAAAACTCTTGCACTAAAAGTATTTGCGCAAAAACTTGCCAATGTAGACATAGCCATAATAATGATTATCAGGCACAGCGCTAACATCGTTTAAGTTTCATTGTAACACTGAATTTCTGTTACATTAAATATCTCCCCATGCTCTGTCTTGGTCAATTGCTCTGCACAGACTATAACCCTATAAAGTGTGGCACTCAGCTCCCATCTACTTCAGTGGGAGTTGTGCATGCTCACTAATGTTCCACAGATCTTTTTGTAGGATGGTAACTAAAACACCCACTTTCATTAATACTATTCAAAATGCAGCATAAAAAGAAGGGTAAGTACATGACCACATGAAATAAACAGGAACAGACTTACTCTTGGATTATCGGGATAAGCTGTGTGCCAAGATCCTCACAATGAAACCATCTTTCAAATAGGACGTTGGTTGATTCTCCAACATAATATCTGACAAAGTAATAACATTAGTAAATCATTCCATTGCACAATGGTTATTTATATAAAATAGCATTTTAAGGGTTAATGCAATGAACTATATTTTATTAATAAGTACAGTGCATTAGCAGGACAGTGTTTTCTAGTGGCTAGCCTAGAGAGTCTGTATTCTTCAGTCCTATTTTCAGCTCTAACACAGTCTTGTGGAAAAGCTTCAGAGGTGGTAGCCAAGTTAGTCTGTAACTGGAAAAACTTAAAAAACAATGAATAGTCTTGCAGAACTTTAGGGTACGTCTATTAGCGTTATTTCTAAATAACTTAGTCCGTGTCAACACAGCAGGTAGTTATTTTGAAATAATGTTGAAATACTGTCAAGCTGGAGGACTTCTTACTCTGACTCCTGTTACCCTTATTGAACGAAGAGTAAGGGAAGTCAGAGGAAGAGTGCTCTATTTCAAAATAAGTGCTGTGTAGACGTTCCCAATTTTGAAATAAGGTATTTTGAAATAAGCTATGCAATTGACGTAGCTCAATTTGCAAAACTTATTTCGAGTTAAGCCCTGCAGTGTAGACGCACCCTTAGGGTATGTCTACCCTACCCCGCTAGTGCGAACGAGCGGGGTAATGTATGCATACCGCACTTGCTAATGAAGCCCGGGATTTGAATTTCCCGGGCTTCATTAGCATAAAGCTGGCGCCGCCATTTTTAAAAGCCGGCTAGTGCGAACTATCCGAACTATCTGTACGCCTCGTGGAAGCCGGGGAAATTCAAATCCGGGGCTTCATTAGCAAGTTCGGTATGCATACATTACCCCGCTAGTTCGAACTAGCGGGGTAGTGTAGACATACCCCTAGAAAGTCAAAGTAGCCTCATCCTCAGGCTAGTTCTACATACACATAGGCTATGTCTACCACGAACTAGCGGGGTAGTGTAGACATACCCTTTGAGATTAACAAAACATGTAGATGGTATTATGAGCTTTCGTGGGCACAACCCACTTCTTCAGATGAATGGAATTATTAAAGGTCCAATTTCTAAATAAATGGGGGTGGGAGGGAAGGGAGAGAGAAGGAAAAAGAAGGGAAATAAACCCTTGGAAAGTCACCTAGAGTGGGCAACACAAAGGGAGTTAGGTGTTGCAACACTGTCCTGGAATTTAACTTCCAGGCACCTAAAAAAAGAAAAATCACAGGAACAACACAGTGATCCACAAAAGCAGAGTTAGATGTCTGAGTTCCCTATACAGTGAATAGTAAGAGACAGGCACTAAGAAAGCAATCCACAAAAAGCCAGCATGCTAGATGGGGAGTTGTCTAAGCTAGCCACTGGGGGTACATCTACACAGCAAGGCTAAAGTCAAATTAAACTGTGCAACTTCAGCTATATCAATTGTGTAGCTTAATTCGAAATAGCTTAATTCGGCTTTTCATGCAGTCTACACAACAGGAAGTGGAAGGAAGAACATTCTTCGTTTGACTTCCCTTACTCCTCATGAAATGAGGGTTACCAAGAGTCAGAGTGAGAAGTCCATCAGTTATTCTGAAATAACACTGCTGTGTAGGCGTACCCTGGGAGTTGCTGAGGAGAAAAGTGTGTGTTAAGCGCTGCCCCTCTCACAGAGTTAGGCACCTCACAGTAGCCTGGATTTAAGTACCAATCTCTGTTTAGTGGTCCTTGAACAGAAACCCACTACAAAGGTATCAGGCAGCTTGGCTTTAAATGCCTCGTGTTTCTTGTGGGAATTAGTTAGGCACCCATATTTGAAGGCCTCCTGTTTGAAGAGAACTAAGTTAATGCTAATTAAGAACTTTTCAATTCACACCACCAGCATCAGCATGGGAGAGTTACAGAGCACCACTTTGGTGCATGCTACCATTCACACTCTTGTAGTCCAAACTGTGGTAAGACAAGCCCTTTACTGACAGTTCTGTTTCTAACAGGGCTTTAGAAAAAGCCTGGAGGTTAGGCTTTGCATTTCTAGCTTTGCTTGACTGTTTATCTTTGCCTAAATATTTTTAATTTATATAAAAATCCTTGACAAAATTCAGTGTTATGATTAAACTTAATTCCAGTGTGGCCTCAAAAGTGCTGCCCAGAAACATCAGAATAATGAAAGTAAGATTCATTTTAGAGGCATTAAATTCTGGACTGAGTGTGTCTAGTCCTGATTTCTGTCATTGATTGGCAGTGAAAATGCCCACTTTCTTATAATTAAGGTTTTGCAGATTATAGGGTTGCCAGGTGTCTGTTTTTGAACCCAACAGTCCAGTATTTGAGCTTTCTGTTCAGGAAAAAAATTGAGAAAATATAAATGTCCGGTATTTTCTAAATAAGATGTAATGTAGATTGTGATGTAATGTCAAGTGTGTCTGGGTATTTTTGTCGAAACCATCTGGCAACCCTAGCAGATTATCCATACAGGCACTAAACATGCAACCTGCACTATTTATTTACTGAAAAGTGCACTTGAATACATTTTAGTCAGCCGATTGTAAACAAGATGATGGCTTTTAATTCTTTTAATTTCTTCTCAGGTTATAAAAGCAAGAATATATTGGTCCATGAATAAGCTCTACATGAGCTTTTTAGAAACCATATGCCACTGCCACATTCATGGACTACACCTGGGAAGCAGAAGTTTTACCAAGAAAAGGTGATTCTATTTAATGTTGCTGAATAACTTCAGTTTTGAAGTACAAATATATAATGTTCTCTCAAATATTAGGTTATTGTGTTTCCAGTTCAATTTATCTTTGGTTTTTGAAAATAAACCTAGTGAAATTTTTTATAAATGTGAATGACTCTGAGCTGTTTTGAAAGGAGGATACAGTGTTGTGACTGAACACTGTTTCAGGTGTACTGTGTGCACCTGTAACTCAAAATCCATTCAGGTGACTTTCTGAAAGCAGGCCCATATGCAGGAATTTCTGTGGGGGTGCTTTTTTTGTAAATGTGGACTGCAATTCTTTTAAATATAAAGGAGTTCAAATTAGTCATACAATGAGTGTGCATGAGAGGTTAATGAAAAATTTGATTGGAAACAGTAATTGCTAAAATGATTTTGTTATAGCATACTAAAAATGTATACAATCATAAAGGTTTTATAGAAATTACCTTATGGGATCTTGCTGTAATATTGTAAGCGAAAAACAATATTCCAAAATATTCCAGTCTTTGTCTTCAGAGTTTTTCAATTATGACTATATATAAGCTAGTAGTAGTGAAATAGATTTTAGGTAACAGCAAACTTTTCTTCATGAGAGTAAATTCACAGCAGTGTCTAAGACTTGTTAGTATTTAGTTTCCATCTTCAAAGAGAGTTTTAAGTTCCAGTCTTTGAGGGAACTTCCCAGTAAAGATATCCACCACTTCATCTAAGTCCACTTTCACTGCATAGTGGATGTTCATGAGTGCAAGACATGACAATCGCTTTTGCATCATGCAAGCACTTGTGTAATTGTGCACTCTCCAAAGAGCACTTTCGCTGTGTTCACACTCACAACTTGTGACAGGAATAGTACAGCATATCTTCAAGAGTGCAAATATGGTTTCAAAGTGTTCTGAAATCCTTAGATGAAAGTCTATATTTAAGTGCAAACATACAACATACTTATAAAAGACATTTCAATAAGGAACATATTAGCTAACCTGTTTATTAAAGTGTGTGTGTGTGTGATAGATACCTGCTATTTTCATTGATAATTTACTAGGAAAGAAGTAGAATACAACAATGTAGCGAAACAATAACTCATATGAGAAGTTTAACAGATCAGCCCCATATCTAAAGCAAAAAACCATATTTCACCTGAGTCCATCTGTTTCTGTGTTTAACCTTTTCCTCTCGATGACGAGTCCCACAGTCTCTGCATATCTTTGAGGAGAGTGAGGTATCCTGGCAGGCAGGAGAAACATCTGCCCAGACAAAGATATTGGAAACAATAACTATAACTGCCTCACGTATGTTTCTTTTCTTTTTGCAGGCCTTTGTTCACCCTCCTGCTTTTCTTCTATTCCCGTTGATCTTGGCAACTGAGCCCACATTGATACCAGCAGCAAAATAGATGCTGTTGCTAGCTTTCCCAGGTTGGTGTCTTGTTAATGGCAACCTTTCATCCAGCAGTGATCACTGTCTTCTTGGGTATTGAGCTGAGCTCTCAGTTGTACATTTGAACCTCTCTAGTTTGGCACCCTTGGGACCTGAATAGTGCTGAACCAGAGAATTTGCCGAACCATGGGAGGTCAATATTGTCTAGCAGCACTATCAACACTTCCACTGCTTACTGGGCTCTTAGAAGACATTTAGGGGTTAGTTAGAACTCAATAACAGCTCAATAAACAAACTTTATGGGACTGTGGGAAACTTGGCCCCACCCATGAGAAGTGGACAGCCAGCTAATTAAAGTTATGGTGGACCATGGATGTTGCCAGACCAGAGAGTGGCAGACTAGAAAGGTTCAATCTGTATCATCACTGCTGTTAGACAATTAAAATAAAGAACAAACCAGTGACCTTATCTGAGATTCAGAAAGTTACTGTAATTTTTGAATCATGGTAAGTACAATTAAAGGAAAACTTGTTATTAGCACAATGGTGTTCCTATGGGTATGTCTACACTACAGCACTAATTTGAACTAACTTAATTTGAATTAGTTAATTTGAACTAAGCTAATTCGAACTAGTGCATCTAGACCTAAAAACTAGTTCGAATTAGCATTTTCCTAATTCGAACTAGCATGTCCACATTGAGTGGACCCTGAACCGGGGTTTAGGATGGCCGGAAGCAGTGCCGGCAGGGCATCAGATTAGGACTTAGAGCATGGAGCTGCTGCCTCAGGCTAGCCGAGGGCTGTCCTTAAAGGGACCTGACCCCCACCCCGGACAGACAGTTCTCAGGGGTTCCCCGCTCGCTTGTCTAACTCGATGAGGGACAGCAAAGCAGTCCTGGCTTGGAGTGCCTTGAATGCCCACACTCGGCACATCATAGCACTCGGCCATCAGCCCGGCTGCACTTGCCGCAGGCTGCCATCTGGAGGGGGGGTCAATCGAGGGGCTTCAGGAGAGCTTCCACCCCGAGGAGCCCACAGAGCCAGCCCAGTCCTTCCCATCGGGGGTTCGTACCCCATTCCTCCCTCACCTCCTTCCACTTGCCTCTCCCTATCCCCCCTGTCTGTCTGGCTGTCACTTTATAGGCCAGCTATTTTTTCACTGAAATGTTATGCACACTATATAGTTTGTGTAATGGATTGGTACCTTTTACAATGGAATTTGTTATATTTAATTCACAATATTATTAATCATTACCTGGATCAGTATTTTATCCTGCTCTGCAGTGGAAATTTGAATTGAAGTACAGTAATTGTTATGATAGTCATTTAACATGTAGGTATAATAATGACAAGAACAAACTCCTCTTTACCTCCCCTTCTCTGATGTGGATATCTCTGTGATTTCCATTTTCAATTATCTTCAAGCACATGTCTCCATCCACCTGGTAAAATAACTGAAGTGTAGAAAAAATGACATTAAGCCATGTGAGCTTACTAACACAGCTCTAGCCTGCAATCTTTTGATCCCTAATTCATTATGGGATCTTTTAACAAGGGTCAGGACTAATTCAGGGAGAACAGAGATTTACACCTAAGTGACCAGAGTAGGTAGCAGTCAGGGAAATTTTGTAAAGGAGTTTAGAGACAGAGAGCATGAGAGCCAGAAACACCTAACAAGTATACTGCAAACTTAGACCAAATTTTATTTGCAGTGTTTTGGTATTTCTGTTTCCAGTCCTAGCAATAATCCCAATGGGTACACACAGCAGTGCACATCTACGTTACAAGCCATTATTTCAAAATAATGTCGAGCAGGAGGACTTCTTACTCTGGCTCATGGTAACGAGGAGTAAGGGAAGTCTAAGGAAGAGTGTTCTTCCTTCAACTTCCTGCTGTATAGATGGTGCCAAAAGCCGAATTAAGCTATTTCAACTTCAGCTATGCAACTGATGTAGCTGAAGTTGCATAGCTTTATTCGACTTTAGCTCTGCTGGGTAGACGTGCCCAATATGTGTGAACCTTAAAAACAAAACAAATCAAAACAATTTTTTTTCTTCCTCTAGAACAAGGGTGGACAAAAGGGCCTCTGCAGGCTGGATCCAACCCGCCAAGTGGGTTGATCTGGCCCACGGAGGCCCTGCTGCTTCCCTGCCACCAGGCCAATTAGGAGCACCCAGCACTTTGAAGCACCATGAGCTCCTCGCAGGGCGAGAGTTGTCGTGCACTCCCCCGCCCTCAAGTCCTGATTGGCCTGGAGCAGGAGGAACGCGTGAACATTTTTGAAGTGGCCCCAGCCAAAAATTATTGCCCACCCCTGCTCTAGAAAATGGTCTTGATTTTATCTGTATTTACTTGATTCCAAACCAATCCACATATTCCTAGTGGACACATCTCTCAGGCTTCAGAAATTATGAATAAAAATGTTTGCTTCAAAAGGAAGTGAAAAGGTAAAGGAGACCTGCCTCTATGGTAGGTATACTGGGAGTCCTTAAACTTACAATACAATTCATTCCTCAGAATTGCATTGTGAGTGGAAACACCGTAAATTGAAACTGCTGTCAAATCGGGGGATTGGCTTCTGAACGAAGGCTCGATACACTATTTTCACCACAATAACCCAGATTTTTGTATTAAATGAAGTATAGATGACTGTATAGCAACACCATCGTATTTATTTGATAAGCAGTATTGAAATAAACATATCATATCATATATATACTTTGACTTTCCAGAATAGAGCTGAAAGGGGATCCCTTGCAGTGGTTTGTCTGATTGGCTTCCATGGCCAGGGTAGCTTGCCTTGCCATTTGTTTTTGAATGGCTGAGCCTGGGGTTGGGAGCCAATCAGAAAGCTTGAATAATGAAATAAGTGATTGGCTGAGGCTCAGCATGTGATCCCTGCCGTTATAAGGGTGAAATGAGCATTGTACAGAGAAATAGGCAGTCAATCGAAAAGCGTCATAAGTGGTATCTGACGTAGGTGTTTTAAGTCAGAGGCCTCTCTGTACTGCAAAACAGCCTCTCCCCACAGCTCATTCAAGTCAGGGGTATCAATGTGGATAGGGACCCCAGAATAGTGAGAGCAATGGATGGAGGTAAAAGTAAGGCAGTGCGCCCTTGGGTGCCACTCTGGCAAGAGCTGGTTGGGATGTTCTCCTGTAGGCACACCTCGTGCGGCTGGTGGTGCACTCTCTCAGCTGGGCTCTCAGGTTTTCTGCTGCAGGCTGTTGCTGGTGGCTCAATGAGTGCAGCCAAATGAGGCAGGCAGGTATGAAAGGGATCAGTGGGGGGCATGCTGTAGGGGAGGTGGGCACGCTCCCAGCTGGGCTCCTGGTGCATCTGTGCCTATCCTGCTTCCCCTCTCCCACTGGATACCAGGCAGTGCATGTGCATTCCCTGGCATGCACTGCTGCCTGTGAAGAAGATAGAGGAAGGAAGTGACAGGCCAGGGGTCTCTCACACCACTGCCAGTTTCTCTGCAGCAGTGCCCCCAAGGCTGGCCTTTGCACTGGGCAGTCTGGGCCCAAGATGAGGGCAACACAACTGGTGAGGGAGGGAGTGCCACAAAGGGCTCGGACAGCACCCCTCCCCTTTGGTACCCTTTTCCTAACCCTAATCCAGCCCCCTCCTCTCTGGTCCTTGTTTCAGCCCAGCCAGCAGGCTTCTCCCCACTCCTCCCCTCTGGACAGATGAGGGTTCCAGTGCCACCCAGCCCCTCCCTCCTGGGGAGTCCAGAGCTGGAAAAGTGTCCCTTTCTGCCAGAAGCAAAAGTTTGCAGCATGTGAGTGAGCAGGTAGGGGCCCAGCAAGGCTGGGGAGAGAGGGAACCAAGCTCAGGGAGTAGAGCCAGGCACAGGACTTCAGGGAACAGTGTGTGTGTGGGGGGGTGGGGGGGAACCAAGCTGGGGATGGCTGTGACAGGAGTGGGGCTGGGAAGGAAAGGGGGGCAATTGTCTGGCTCAGTGACTTGGAGTGAATGTGCTAGGGCTACCTGGGGAGCAGTCTGGTGCCCCTGGGGGACAGCAGCTGTTCTGATCTACTCCATGCACTGCATCTGCTCCTATCCCCTCTTCTTCCCACATGCCTGGCCGCTGACCCCCTGTCCTGCCTGCAACTCCCTGCAGTCTCTCTAATCTTCTTTTCACTCTGTCTTCCTCTCCTATGAAAGTTAAGCCCAGATACCAAGGATCCCCTCTCCTCCCTTCTGGAGCAGGAATCAGCAGCAGATGTGGACTGGGGCAGGGAGGGACACATTTTTGGCTATGGAGGAGGGGAAGTTAAAAGAAAATGAAAGGTGACTGACTGCTCCTTTGCATTTCAGCTGAGAAGGAAATGAAAAGACCATTTGGGAGGTGATGGCCCAGAACCATGGCAAGCAAGGGCCTGAATGAGGGCTGGACTCGGTCATTAGTATTAGCTGTTTCTATTTTGTCATTCAAATGGGTTTTGGGTCATGGCTGACATGTCAGCCATCATGTAAAATGCTTCCCTGTGGCCTTTCGCCATGTACCCAAAGATATCTCACCGCCAAGTCCCTATCCTAGGAGAAGAGTGTGTGTGGCTGACGTGTGTGTACAGTGTGATTTCCCACCTTCATGCACTCAGTGGCCTAAGCTTGACACTCCCATGCTGGAGCCTCCACATGTATTTATGGACAATAAATTTGGCAGAAGTTTAAAATATTCTGCACAGGCAGGAGGGGCAGAATGGGGGAGGGTCTCTAGACTCACAGTTCTGGCAAGGATTCAGAGCTCCACCAAAGCCCCATCCAGGACTGACAGCTCAACCCTACCTGGGACTGAGTTTTCACCCCTTCTGTCCAATGGTTCTGACCAAGCTTTCAGCCACCTCTGCCAATAGTGGAGCTAGAAGTGGTAAATGAGGGCATGGCCTTGACCAGAAGAAACAGGACAGGGGGTTAGCCTCCCATGCCTGGCTTGTTCACCTAGCCATTTTCCTTTTATTCCATGTAACTACCAACTCATGACTCCCACCACCCCTTGTCATTTTAATTTGGTCTGGTGTCACCGAGTGATTGTGTAAAAGGCTACAATAGCTTTCACTAAAAAGGCTGATGGCTCATCTTACAGTATAATATTACTTAAGTGGAAAATTGCTCACTATACATCCCAGGGGCCCAGCAAGGCTGGGGAGAGAGGGAACCAAGCTCAGGGAGTAGAGCCAGGCACAGGACTTCAGGGAACAGTGTGTGTGTGGGGGGGTGGGGGGGAACCAAGCTGGGGATGGCTGTGACAGGAGTGGGGCTGGGAAGGAAAGGGGGGCAATTGTCTGGCTCAGTGACTTGGAGTGAATGTGCTAGGGCTACCTGGGGAGCAGTCTGGTGCCCCTGGGGGACAGCAGCTGTTCTGATCTACTCCATGCACTGCATCTGCTCCTATCCCCTCTTCTTCCCACATGCCTGGCCGCTGACCCCCTGTCCTGCCTGCAACTCCCTGCAGTCTCTCTAATCTTCTTTTCACTCTGTCTTCCTCTCCTATGAAAGTTAAGCCCAGATACCAAGGATCCCCTCTCCTCCCTTCTGGAGCAGGAATCAGCAGCAGATGTGGACTGGGGCAGGGAGGGACACATTTTTGGCTATGGAGGAGGGGAAGTTAAAAGAAAATGAAAGGTGACTGACTGCTCCTTTGCATTTCAGCTGAGAAGGAAATGAAAAGACCATTTGGGAGGTGATGGCCCAGAACCATGGCAAGCAAGGGCCTGAATGAGGGCTGGACTCGGTCATTAGTATTAGCTGTTTCTATTTTGTCATTCAAATGGGTTTTGGGTCATGGCTGACATGTCAGCCATCATGTAAAATGCTTCCCTGTGGCCTTTCGCCATGTACCCAAAGATATCTCACCGCCAAGTCCCTATCCTAGGAGAAGAGTGTGTGTGGCTGACGTGTGTGTACAGTGTGATTTCCCACCTTCATGCACTCAGTGGCCTAAGCTTGACACTCCCATGCTGGAGCCTCCACATGTATTTATGGACAATAAATTTGGCAGAAGTTTAAAATATTCTGCACAGGCAGGAGGGGCAGAATGGGGGAGGGTCTCTAGACTCACAGTTCTGGCAAGGATTCAGAGCTCCACCAAAGCCCCATCCAGGACTGACAGCTCAACCCTACCTGGGACTGAGTTTTCACCCCTTCTGTCCAATGGTTCTGACCAAGCTTTCAGCCACCTCTGCCAATAGTGGAGCTAGAAGTGGTAAATGAGGGCATGGCCTTGACCAGAAGAAACAGGACAGGGGGTTAGCCTCCCATGCCTGGCTTGTTCACCTAGCCATTTTCCTTTTATTCCATGTAACTACCAACTCATGACTCCCACCACCCCTTGTCATTTTAATTTGGTCTGGTGTCACCGAGTGATTGTGTAAAAGGCTACAATAGCTTTCACTAAAAAGGCTGATGGCTCATCTTACAGTATAATATTACTTAAGTGGAAAATTGCTCA